TTGGTAATCTTAATGTTGAATCCTAAGGCAATTTCTTTGGCTAATTGAATAGGACAATTTTGGGAGAACAAAACTTTTGATTTTTCCTTGTTGATTTTTTGTCCTGACTTATTGCAAAAGGTATTAAGGCAATTCTTGATGGTACGAAGATTTTTCTTATTTGCTTTTGTCATAAGGGTGAGATCGTCTGCAAAGAACAAGTGGGATATACTAGTGTGTTAGTTGCTTAGGCCAATAGGGTCCCAAAGGTCAATATCTACTTGATGGCAGATCAGTCGTGATATCATTTCCATACACGGGATGAAAATAAAGGGTGATAGGGGGCAGCCTTGTCTGATCCTCCTACTTGGGGCAAATAAAGAGGTAGTAATACCATTTACCAAAATAACAATGTTGCTAGTATTGATACCGTTCATTATGAGATTCTTAATATTGGTTGGAAATTGGAAGTGAGAGAGTGTTAAGTAGATGAAGGACCATTCTGATCTGTCGAAGGCTTTTTCCAGATCCAATTTAAGGATCATGTGACCCTTTTTCCCTTTCATTTTTTTAAATTGGGATATCAATTCTTGAATTATGATAGCATTATCTGACGACCTTCTTCCCTTTAAAAACCTAGTCTAGAAGGGGCTAATGATTGGATTAAGGAATGGTTGAATTCTATTAGCAATGATTTTTGTTATGATCTTGTAAATGGTGTTACAAAAACCTATGGGTCTAAAGTTTTTTAGGTTATTGGCATTGGGTACTTTGGGGATCAGAAAAATGAAATTATTGTTGATATCAGGGGGAAGAGTTTGAGTTTGAATATTGAATACTTGAGTGCATAGGTCTATAACTGATTGACCTACAATGTTCCAATATTTTTGATAAAAAAAAGGATGCAAGTTATCCGGTCTGGGTGATTAAAAAGGCTTGAAGGAAAATATTGCTTTATAAACTTCACCCTTAGATAATTGGTCATCAAGGGTTGAGAGATCAATATTGGTGAAGTTTTTGGGATTGGTTTTTATAAAAGACCAATTAGTAGCATAATGATCAATTTTGAAGGCATTTTCAAAGTAATTGAGAGTGTGGTCTAGGATTTGGTTTGGTTCGTTGATCCAATTACCAAATTCGTCTTTGAAATAAACTATTTTGTTTTTACTAGCCCTATTGGTTGCACTAATATGAAAGAATTTAGTGTTAGCATCTCCTTCTTGGACCCAGGACATCCTGGCTCTAATTTTCTACTACTCGTCTTCTAGTTTAAGAATTTCTCTATATTCTTGTTGAAGGTTCGACTCTAAATTCTAGAGAAAGGAACTAGTGTAGTAATTATTGGAGTGTTGTATGCCACTAAGTCTAGCAATTATCCTTAACTTCTTTAGTTGAGTATCACCAAAGTGTTTCTTACTCTAATAGATAATGTTATCCCTAAAATTTTGGGAACTATGGACGTAGTTAGAATTATTCCAACTTTCTCTAACTAGATTTATAAAATCCGGGTGTCGACACCAAAAGGTTTCTAGACGAAAATGTTTTTTAAAGGAGGAGCACTTTTTTGGGTTACAAATTATCAAGAGGGGGTTGTGGTCCGAAGGTGGGTAATGGATGCTTCTGGAAATAACTCAATCTACTCCTTATTAGCAAACACCCTGTCTAGTCTTGCTAGAATGAGATCTTTGTTTTTTTTTTCCTTTTATTAGACCACGTAAACTTAGGGTCCTTAAAACCTAAATCGATTAGGTTGCAAGTGTTAATGTAATCCCACAGGATCTTGGTTTTCTTTTGACTAATTTTTTTTCCTCCTAATTTTTCCTCCGAGGTTAAGACATCATTAAAATCACCTCCTACCACCCCAAGGACCTCTAATAACATTATGCATATCTAGCAAATTGTTCCGCATAATATTTCTAAGTCTACTGACAGTACTAGCGTAAATAGAAGTAAAATATCAAGTCTTGTTTAGGGAAAATACCTCAATAGTAGCCTAATTTCCTGACTTCTACGAACAAAGTTATGCACCATAACCTTGGTGTGATCCCACAAAATAACCATACCTCCCGACTGCCCATCTGCTGGAATTTCTATCATATCTGTGAAGCCAAACGGGTTGAGGAGAGGAAGATGACTGTCCATCTTGGTTTCTAGAAGAGTTACCATGCTAGGGTGATGAGTTTCAATTAAATTTCTGAAGCTAAGCCTAAAATTGTCATCGTTTCCCCCTCTTATATTCCAGATGATAATGGTGATCGATCTATTCATGTTTAACATTGGGTTGTTCAGATCTCCATTCTCCCTCATCCTTCTTGCAAAGATGGGGTTCCTTCTCTGAAAAGGAACAAGGATCATTGCATGTTTTCCTACGGTAGGGTCTGCTGGAGGTCTTATATCCATTGTGCACTTGTACTGTGCCATTGGACAGAAGGGAATTTGTTTCTGTTCTTGCCTCTCCATAAATAGAAATATTTTTAGCTCGTCTAGGTTTGAATCCTCGACCACGTTTTGAGGGATCAAGTTTACAAGATCTATTTCTTCCATTGCCTGCTCCATTTGGTTCTGAGTTTGTTGAGAATGGGGTTTGCATGATTTGTGCATCTTGTGCAACTGGAGGTGGGGACTGATTTACATGAACATTCCAAGGGGTGAACACTGGGTTGATGTTGGTTAGGAATTCCGGGGTGAAGAACGGGAGATCCACTACTGGGGTTGGGTTCTGGATTGGAATATAGTTCAGTGGCATGTTCCAATCCCCCCCTCATGGATTGGATTTGGTTGGCAGTGAGATTTGGGATTATAGGGTTCAGGATGTTGTTCAACCAAACTTGGTTGATATAGTTGTTCATCGCCAAGCGAACCGCTTTGGAAATCAGTTGAGCAATGTAGTGGGAGTTTTGAATCATTATCACTGTCTCTCTTCCTTCCAACGTGATGTTGAAAGAGATTGCATGGCCTAGTAGTCCCATCTCTACCCACGATAATGGTTGGTGGTTCTGTGGGAAGGGAGGTTGGATCAAGATCCTTCTTGGTTGAGTGTTTTGGTTAAGAACCTTCTTATTCTGGCTAAAGACTGATATGTTTGTAGATTGATAAAGTGTGACTCAAAAGCAAAAGCTTTATTATTGGAATATCTGAAGTATTCTGATAGTGTTAGCTCGATGGAAGTTNACCCCCCAAAAAAAAGAAAAACCCTTGTTTCAATAAAAAAGAAAGACTAAATGATAAATAAAAAAAAAGTATTAAAAATGTCTCATTTTCCTTTTTAGCTTTGTGTAACGTCTGGACTGGGCACTTATGAAGTTGGTATGTTGTGTTGAGCCTTGACCATGAATAAGAATGTAGTATTTTTGGTAAGAAAAATTAGAAGAGAAATTAATATTGAAGGAATTGTTGGAGTTGATCAAGTCACTTCAAAATTTCGATCTCATATCTCTATCCATTAAGACCATGGTATAGTCATTTAATTTAAGGCAACTTCAAATCAACTTACATTTTTCTGTCTCGTCTTCTACGGTCTTTTCTTCGAGGAAATGATATCTAATGTTTATTTATAATTTAAATAAAAAAAATAGTATTATTAAGATATCTTATCTACGTGTTATTTATACAAATCTAATGTCCATAATTTTTTTTTCCAAAAATGTGTTTATACATGAAATTTTACAAGTTTTTGAAAAAATTTCCAAAATGAAAATTTCAAAAGACCACTTTTTAAAAAATTTCAAAAAATATTTTTTTTTCCACTCACAAAACATCAAGCAAAAGAGGGGTATTAAATGGAATAAACTAAGCAAGAGATCAACTAACCAAGAGAATGAACTAATCCCAAGGAATGATCTGCAATATTTTTTCAAGTGAAATACATGTCCATACATAATTTTAAATGTCAAATACCATTTTTTAACTTAACTCCAAATACCATTTTTTTTTTCAAAATTACAATTTTTATGTCCAAACGCCTACATAACTCACTATATAGAATATTGTCTAACCATTGTGCCATTTTTTTTACAACCAATCAAAGAGTTCGTTTTTACTAACTTGATCAATTTAGATTCACTTCACGTATAGTTGAGTTCTCTAGTAGCGCGAGAATTACTCTCTATCAGAAATTTCTCTATTTTCACGGTTCGAATCCAAAATATCCTATTGGTGACACCCAATAGCGGATCTACTCTATGGGTTATGGGTACTTGAGCACTCATTACTTTTAGAGCCAAATATTATTACTTAAATAAAAAACCTAGCAATTCATATAAACTAGATTAAAATAATTGAGCACCCACGATTTGGAAATTCTGATCATACCGATCAAAGAGTAACTCCAAGTTGCACTTGTCTATGCCCACTAACTGTTGATTAAAGAGCAATTTAGGCCCCCAAGCTAGATCAATTAATAATAAAACTATAGTGGCATTCTTGTAATTTTAGTAACTCTGAGGGCTTTATTAATTAACTTAATCTTTTTATTATACTACAGAATTTTACCTTCATACTTCTCTCTCTCTCTTTTTGCATAAATACTGTTGTTTGAGGTTGTAGTAATAAAGAACCAAAGGACTTAAAAAAAAAAAAAAAAAAAAAAAAAAACCAAAACTTGGGTTGGGAGTCTTCAGTTTAAGGTTGGTATGCCAACTGCTGATTCATAATACTATCAAACTTCACCTCTATTCCTTTAATTATATTCTTTCTGCTTGCTTCCAAGCTTCTTTAATCTGTTATCCCATTTCAGTATTTTCACTTCTTTTATATTTTCAATAAGATAAAGGTGAAATCTTTCTGATATTTTCGCTCCAATTTGAGAGGAAAATCTAAACTTTATGTTAAATTGGCTATTTTTCTTGATAGATCTGCTAAAGATAGGATTTTTATACTCACAATTTGTTCTTTTCTATTTTCTTTTTAATTTTTTTTCTTAGTATTGTGGATTCTTGAGAAAATGAAGCTCTGTTTTAAAGTGGGAATGGCAAAAAGTTGGTTTATTCTGTTGTTTTTGGAAGCTTAAGGAAACGTATGTATTCAATTTGAAGCTAGTTTCAGTTTTTACTTTAACTGAATAAGTAAGGAAAGCAATTAAACTCTTGCTATTATTATGAATAAAATTCAGAAATAATTAAAAGGCTGTGTATACATGGTCCATTTTATCTGGTTCATGTTCTGCTCATTCTTTTATTTTTTATGAATCAACTTTGTCCCTGAAAAATGAATACGTTTTGTGTCATTAAATTTAGCGTGTCTTGTTCGACTGTTGGCATTGTCTGTATCTATGAGTTTTCTTGTTAAGTTCAGTGTACTCATCTTTTTTGGTTCATCAATAAGAGAAGTTCTCTATTTTGTTTCAGATCATCGCTTCTTCTTTTCTTTTTTCCCCTTTTTAGTTTTCAAAAACAGTAGCTTATGTTCTTGATTAAAATCGTTCCGTGATAAATTTCCTTTTCTCCTTTTCTTTTTAAAATATCAAATCTTTGCCCTTTTTGCTAGTGAGAATATAGTGATTCTTTCAAAGGACTGCTGGTGTAACTAGTTTTTTGCTTTAAGGTTAGTAGATCAATGATAAGAATTTGTCGAGTGGACAAGCTAAAATTTCATGGATGTTTTAACATTAGACAATTCTGAGGATATAAGTCAGTGCCTACATTGGTCATCCTTTTCTGGCAATGAGTGTGAATTTAGTTTAAATATATGTTTATTTAAAAAAAATTAATACTAGTATATAGAGTTGAAGAGCATCTGCGCCAGCACGACATAAAGTAGATGAAGTAAGAGAACCTAAAGAGGTTGTATGTGAGTTGTTTAGGAATTGGTGACCAGCGTAGTTGATAACGGATACATGGTTTCTTGTTGATTTCTGATTGCTTGTGCTAGCATTTGTCATCTTTTTGTGAGATTGCATTGAAACTGTTTCCTTTTCTGATCTGTTACTTCATATACATGAATTTTCCATGCTCTGAGATAGTAGGCTGCAAATTTAAGGTTGGTTTTGAACTGGATATATAGTGTACACGTAACTGCTAATAGTAATTTCACACAATGCTACATAGTAGAAGTATTGGCATAACACTTTGAGTTGTCAACTGGCGGTAATACCTTGACTGTTATGCGCTTATTAGTCCCTTAATCGGACTTCATTTGATAAACACTGTACATTTCTTGTGTAGGTTGTCATGTTTTGCCACTAGAGATCGTCCCTTCCTTTTCAACTTTTGAAAGCTGCTTGGCTTAAAGCACTCCACTGTGGAAGCCATGAAAACCTTGTCACATGAATAATCCTTGATGCCGTGTACATTAATTTTCGTGGTGTTCCAATAACCGTGCACTCTGAAGAGCTAGATACCAGACTGTGTAGTCGTATATAGACGAGGCAGAAACAATCTTTCCAATGCAAGCATCACAACGACTCAGAAGATCACCCATGTCTAATACTCTTTACTATCAACCAGTGCAGAAGGCAGAGGCTTGCTGTCTCCCTCAGTTTCAAACTTTAGACAACCATTTGAGCTACATTAATGGTAGCCATGGATTTTATCACTCACCGTCAACTGCTAGTTTCTCATCAAACGGAAGCTCCATTTGCCATCAAGAATCTCAGCCATACCTATCAGATGTTCGCCAATCCTCTGAGACGACTAACTATGGCTCCCCCACTAGCGGATCTTGCATTACAGATGGTGCAAATGATTTCATGCACAAGCTAAAGGAATTGGAAACCGTAATGCTGGGACCTGATTCAGACTTTCTGGAGAGTTATGATAATTCCTTGCCGAACAGTGTAGCCTCCACAGAAATTAATAGCTGGAGGCAAATGATGGAGGCCATGCCTAGACGGGATTTGAAACATGTCCTTATCGCTTGTGCAAAAGCAGTGTCTGACGGTGATTTACTAACAGCACAAGTGTTGATATCTGAGTTGCGTCAAATGGTATCAGTGTCGGGGGAACCGATTCAGAGATTGGGAGCATACATCTTGGAAGGTCTTGTTGCGAGGTTGGCCGCATCAGGAAGTTCCATATGCAAATCCTTGAGATGCAAAGAACCCGCAAGTTTTGAACTGTTGTCTTATATGCACATGCTGTATGAGATTTGCCCTTACTTCAAATTCGGATACATGTCAGCTAATGGCGCCATTGCAGAAGCAATGAAGGATGAAAATAGAGTTCATATCATTGATTTCCAGATCGCTCAAGGGAGCCAGTGGGTGACTCTAATCCAAGCTTTTGCAGCTCGGCCTGGTGGACCCCCACATATACGTGTAACAGGCATCGACGATTCCACCTCAGCTTACGCTCGTGGAGGAGGGCTTAATATTGTGGGGCAGAGGCTGTCTAAACTCGCTAAGGCTTTCAAGGTGCCTTTCGAGTTTCATGCTGCTGCCATTTCTGGTTCTGATGTTCAAGTTGAAAACCTTGGAATTCAACCTGGCGAAGCACTGGCTGTAAATTTTGCTTTTACGTTACATCACATCCCAGATGAAAGTGTGAGCACTGAAAATCACCGGGATGGACTATTACGGATGGTCAAAAACCTGAACCCCAAGGTGGTTACGCTTGTTGAGCAAGAATCTAATACAAACACAGCTGCATTCTTCCCTCGGTTCCTTGAAACCTTGGATTATTATACAGCCATGTTCGAGTCAATCGATATGACTCTACCAAGGGGACACAAGGAGCGCATCAACGTTGAGCAGCATTGTTTAGCGAGGGACGTTGTTAACATTATAGCGTGTGAGGGAATTGAAAGGGTAGAGCGACATGAACTTCTTGGTAAGTGGAAGTCGCGGTTTAGAATGGCTGGTTTTAGCCCATATCCATTGAGTTCATTAGTGAATGCTACAATAAAGAGATTGCTAGAAAGCTACTCTGATAAGNAATACTCTTCTTCCTCTATGTAATAGCTGAAGTGCTAATAGTGGAAAAAACAGGTTCCTTTTTCAAGTGTATCACTTGATCAATCAAAGTTGAAGCTTATTTCTTGGAAACCACTTATCTAGTATTACAATCACTACTAAAAAATAGGAATTAGCGACGGACAAATTCTGTAGTTAAACAGAATAATTTGTCGCTAATCGTATTTAGCGACGGATAAGCGACAGATTATCAAGAAATTCTGTTAGCTATGAGCGATTTAACAACAGATTAGCGACAAAGTCCGTAGCTAATTCCAATTCTTTTTTGTAGTGAGTTGATATGCAATGTTGGTCTTGGAAGATTTCTTTTAGGTGTCATTTATGTTGTTTTCCATTCGGAAACAGCCTCTCTGCCTTTATAGGGTAGGAGTAAGGTTGCGTACACACTGCTTCCCAGATCCCACGTATGAGATTAAGCTGGGTTTGTTGTTGTTGTTATGTTATTTTCCATAAATAAAACCAGTTAACATGAGGGTACCTCTTGAAATATTCAGAGAAGAGGATTCTTATTTTTGTGAAGGGGAGTAGAATTTCTCATCCATTTTTTACACTTATAACAACATGTAACTCTCCTAAGCAAGTATGATATGATAACATAAAAAATAGAGTAATAACTTATTATTCTTTATACTGTCGATATATACAACTTTAATCCGCAAGCGACGCCATAGGCAACATTAGTTATCACTACATTTTTGCTTTATTAATTCGATTACGTAAAAGTTTTCTAGATCCTTTAGCTATTAATGATAATAAAACATGCTAAGTAGTACACTCTACGCGTGATTCTTTAAACATAGGTTAATACTCTTTTCCTCACTATAAGCTTGACTTATGAGAAGAAACATTTGTTGAATTAGTAAAGTACCTAAAAATACTAATTTGAAGTGCAAACACAAAATATTTGGTAAATTGTCTATCATCAAATCTGAAACAATATATGTTACTTTTTTTTTTAGGTTAATAACGCTTTACCCAATGAAAATGGTCAAGTTTTTTTAGATAGACTATAAGGAAAGAAAGAAAGATTTATTTGAATGGAGTACGATTTAAACTTTACCCGTCTAAATTATTTAAAAGTCAGTCATACTCTTCTTTCCAGTAAACTAGACTTAGGATATAAATTATTTCTTGAATTAATAGAATTATTTGAACTTGAAGTGCAAAAAAAGTTAAAAATTTGGTAAATTATTAGTCATATTTGAAGTAATATTAGTACTAACTTAAGTTAGATTGAAATTGTTTAACGGAAATAAAGCTCCCCCAAATATGATCAAAAACTGCTAAGTATGCACGTGCTTATAAACTTAGAATAGGATTTATAGCGAATTAGAAAAAATAACATTTTGAATTGTAAAATATTAAAATAGTATGTAAAATTATCGCATTTGAAAATATATAATAACAATTTAAGTTTATAAATTGGTTGAGGGAAATAAGTCTCCACGTGAAAGGATCAAGTTTATTTGTATAACACAACTAAAAGGAGAGAGACATTTATTTGGTCAGAGGGAGTTTGATTTAAAGACAGCTTTCTATAATTGGTACATCTCTATTGTTAAGAAGCACCAACTTATGTGTGTAAGAATTGATAAACTAGGAGCAAGCAACCAGCTATTATTGCAAGAATTTTGCAAGGGTAAAAGCTCGCGCCAGAAACTATTTATATTCGATAGCCGAAAATGTGTATATATATACAAAAAATATATATTTTTCCAGCTATTATTTTAAGAACGACTATACAGTGTCATTTTCCCAATTTTGCAACTACAGTTAAATAATCTTATTTATGTATAAAAATTTGTTTAAGGAGATAAAGTAGCCTGATCAAGTGGCAACAATTAGATACATATGATCAAATCTATACTCTGTTTTCGTTTGTTGGACAACATAACTTATACAGTAAATTTAGGAATTCACACCAATTATGAGGTTAAATCAGAGGTTCCTATACATATATTCAATCCTTGCTTCTCTCCTGCAATGGAGGATAATTGACCAATTGCAATTTGAAGTAAGGATAATTATCTAAATCTGGATCAGTTGATTGATCGGAATTGTGTAACTTGTGCTCAATTTGCACCAATATGAACAGCCCTGTCAAGGCCAACATGTTTGTTTTCACCTGATTCAGATGCGGACTCCACTTATTCTGGTTGTATTATTAGAATCAGCACCTGCTGCATTTTGCATAACAGTCCTAGAAGGCGGAGTATCATGGTCATGCTGCCCTTCATACGCTGTTACGACTAATTTTGGATCATGGGATGCCCTCTCCACATGCTTCTTTGCAGGGCAACCAGCACTTGAGCATCTGTAGTAACTCCTACATATAAAAGAAAATCTGGATTTATAGAGAGAGTGCAAAAGCATTGTAGATGCAACAAGATGTTTGAACTGTGTAAACAAAGCAAGAAAGAGCACAAGAACCAGGGGTTTGGGGTGGAAGAAAAGCGTAATTTTTTTTTAACATTATCAAAGACGAGAGGTATGATCCGAAACAACATGCATACTGAAAAATAGAATCTGGGGGCAAGAGAAACAGAAAACTGATCATCTCAGCTTATATATACAAGACATACGCTGCAGAAAGTAGGCCTACTGTTTTCCTTTTTCTCTTTTAATTGGATTAACTAGGTCTAATGTTTCATACTTGGATAACCTCGCAAGATATGATTGTAAAGTGACTATTTATATCCTCCAATCTCACTTTTAAAAATAAACATCACTTTTGACAGGAAGGGGACATGTTAGCGGAAGATGAGAAGTTCAACTTGTAAAATTAGTCAACACCAAGTGAGTAAGCAATCAAAACGAACCAACAAGGAAAGAGTAGACAAATTGTTTAGTACTAGAATAAAAAGAGCCCAAATGGAGCGTTATGGATACAGAAAACTCATATAACCAATCCCAACTAGTTTGGAATAGATACATAGTTGATCGTATATACTTTTCTTGACCAAACTTCGCAATAATATCTGTATTAAATTTTTTACAGAAATAGAAGAATAATAGCTCAAGTTGTTTTTTCTGTAAATGAGATACAGTTGCTTTTAGTCAATAAACAAACAAATTTTAGATGAACGTACAGTTCCATATGGTTCTGTAGAAGTAAAAGAGCATGAGTCAACCTATGAATATTGTATTTATGGAATACATTTTCAAAGATTGCTAATTACTTAGTCCAGATTAGAACAGTATTATTTTTAGCAAGAAAATGAAATGTGGTTCTTTAACAGATGTTGGGGTGTGTCATATCTATAAAGATCTACAAGAAAGTCACAGTACAGCATTGGGTTTTGAAAGGCTAACGACAACAAGAAATAGTATTACTGACAAGAGAGAGCAGATTGGATCCACTGGTATTGATAGACTAAGAAAGAAATAGTCAAGCAGGCTACTAATGGGCCGAACGATAGAACATTTGGCCTTACATGGTAGGTTAAAGAAGGTGAACATAGAGAAATGGCAAGCCGCATCGGATGAGGAGGATCATGTAAGAGTAAGACCATATAGGAGGGCTTAGTCTTTTTGAAGTTGTATCGAGAAGAGTGAAAGGGACCTGTGCAAGCAAGAGTTATGCCATTTTCGGACTAATTTAGGACAACTTAAAAAAGAAAGTTGGACATTCAACATGAGATGAAGGCAGCAATTATTCTGATAGGCGATATTCATTGCTTCCGTTCCTTTCACGGTTTACGGTGGAAGAATAGGAATGCTTTGTAAACAATCATAACAAGAAAGCAACTCAAGGTTAAGAGGTGATAAGAAAAAACTATTTTGCATGGGCAAAGATTTACAAACATGTTTTTAAAGCAAAGAAAATAGTTACCTAGGATTTGGATTTCCTTTTACCAGTTTTTGCCCATATTTGCGCCACCGATAACCATCAGTGACTATATCCACTTTACTCCTTGTTTGAACAATATGTTGTGGTTCACTATGAGACTTAATGGGTGGAATCTCATCACTTCTAGGTACTTCTCTCTTCCTGTTGCAAAACAATTGCACAACTATCAACTCTAAGAGAGTGTCTAGACCTGAAAACTGAAGACAAATAAATAAGGTTTTGGCTATCACATACTGTCTCTTTGGGTCCGGACCACCACTATTATCAGCCTCATCTCCTGATTTATGTGGCTTCAAAACTGTATCTGTTGCGCTATCACCAGCTGGTACAATAGCCGTTGAAAGCGAGCTCTCCGATTGTTCGATAGATTGACATGTTTGACCAATCACAATAGATTTCTTACCTTTAGCTAATTAGGTAACTCATTAAAATTAAATACTTATCTAGATCGAATAAAACAATTGACTCAGCAATCTTAAGTACCTTTCTGTGGTGTTCCCATTGGCATGTCTGGTTGTCTCATTTGCATAGGCACTACAAACTCATGGGAGATTTGGGGACTATTTAAAGGTTTTGGATGTTCATGCTTTGTGATATAGTGGATATTGGTAATATGCCCATCATGTGATCTCTCCACTTGCTTTTTTGCAAGACAATTAGGGGACGTGCACTTGTAATAACTCCGAGTAAACTCATTTCCTCTAACAAGTTTCTGACCATATTTTCGCCAGTTATATCCATCTTCGGATGGTTTTTCAGGTGCTCCGAAAGGAGTGATTTCTTGATCAGATGGCAAAGCCTGGGCACTCGTATCAGGGTTCCGCCTTGGTTGCAACTTATCCAAAGCTTTCTCAGACGTTGTGGAATAAGTTACTTGTTCTTGATTAGGTTGAGATACAACAACTTCCATTTTCTCACGTTGTATATGTTGTGAAGAATCTGAAGCTTTCCCAGGTACTAAGGAAACGTTTCTGTCTTTTACAGGAGGATCTGATTCACAAGATTTTATGTATGGTTCCTTCTTTGGTAGAACAGAGACTCGACTAGATTCTGATGCCTTTGCCAAAGAATTGGGGCTCAGTCCCTTAAGTAGTTCATCAGAAACAACTTCAGCTGAAACTGAATCACAGGTTCCTTTCTCTTTTGACTCTGATCTGTTGGTGACAGTGTCAGGGTCCGGTTTCTGCTGAAATTTTTCAATCCCTTCAATGACACTCTTCTTTGGCTTGACTTCACCTGATACTTCTTGGCATGTTGTAGAAAGTGCATTTTCATCTTGATTACTTTGTGATGACTTTTCCAAAGCATCGGGGCTCACTCTCTTCTGTAGTTCACCAGAAATAACTTCAGCTGACATTGACTCACAGATTCCTTTCTCTTTTGACTCTGATCTGTAAGTAACAGTGTCAAGGTCCTGTTTCCGCTGTAATTTTTCAGAGGAAACTTCATCTGTCACATCTTCCTTATGTGTACCCATTCAAGCTGAAAAATTATTTGAAGCAAATACACCAAAGTATCTACATTTTAGGCAGGGGAATAAAGTACAAGTATACGGGCATATGCAACATATGGATCCGATATTCCCAAAACAAGTGTGTCCCCACTGTCTATTTAGAACACATCGAACATCAATTTTTTCTCGAGCACGATGAACCACTGACATGTAGAAATTAATAGCATGCAAAGACAGATAACACTTTTTACTGGAAAATGATAATAGCGCATACTGAACTCAAGCAGACAACAAGCAGAAAAGCTATGGGAATTAATAATAGGTATAATGATCAACTATACCTAAATCACAAACTAAAGAGCTTGGCTATAGATTCTTTATATCCATTTCGCTTTGCTCGAGTCTCATTCATTATAATACTAAATAATCTGCTTTTTTAAAGGTAAGTTAGGGATAACAAAAACTCATGTAAAGACCTATCGTAATGCAAGTATAGCATCAAACCAACCAGCAAATAGACATTGATTCCAGCAAACCGCATTGGACATGCAGATCTTTGCTTTAAATATTTTATGTTCTTTTTTTTGGGACAAATTTTGGGGTAATTATCATTGATCACTGGATTGACAATGATAGCCGACCCCAACTAGTCTAGAGCATGGCTGATAAGATGATTGACTTACTTGACAAACATAGACGTGTCCAAACTAGGAAGATATTACCTACTACTGCCTCATCCCATTTTATGTGACGGTGTTTGACTGCGCATGAAATTTAAGAAAGAAAAACTTTTGAAACTTGTAGTCTAAAACAAGCCATAGACATTTACGTGGCCGCAAATCTACCTCACTAAAGTAAAATGAGAAGTTTAAGATTAAAGTGTTTGTAAGTGTCCTTCTCTTTCGGACAGACTAAAAAGGAAAATATGCTACATAAAATGGATCATACGGGTATAATTCTTCTATTCCTAATTAGATGCTGGATAGTTAATACATATGTTCAGATTCTTCAGAATAGTATCTAATACGACATAAACTTCAGAATTAAAAATAAATAAAAATAAAAAAGGCGAACAGTATTCTCAGACCCTCCCTTCTACCCAATTCGCACAACCCCTCAAAATTTGGTTAAAGAAAATTAACTAGCAAAAAAGAGAAACAACAGAAGAGCATAAGCTCTGGAATGTCAAGAGAATTCTAAAACACAAAACAAACATTAAATTAAATTTTCAGAAAGAGTAAAAGAGATGGAAAGTGAAACAGTAAGAAGTCCTATGAATTGAGAAGACAATTCGCACCTTCTTCTTGTACCTGTAGAAAATTCTCAGGTAATTTTGCCGATGATCAAAAGAGGAGGAGGTTTTCAGCAGAATTGACTTGGACCAAATACTACTTTTTTATAGCTCTCAACAAAAATACTATACCAAAAAGGATGTCTATGTCACTGTGTGTGTGTGTGTCAAGTAGTTTAACCCTCTTATATGGGGATTAATTAGCAAAATTTTATAGGAAGAATGATCAGTTTTTTGCTTTTGGGGTTGATGAGTTAAGCTAAGAGGGGTGGTTCACGTGTAAGAGCATCAACGGACCCCAAAAGACCTTAAATTTGGGAAAATTACTAGAATCTTATAGCATGTTTGGCCAAGTCCGAAAAATAAGCTTATTTTGATAAGTGCTTTTGAAAAAAATATTTTCGGATAATGGCATTTGGACTTGTACTGTTTCGCAAACACACGTGGCATAATGGCATTTGGTGTTTGTCAGGGTTTTATTTTGTTTTGACTTTTTCCTTTTTACTGTGTAATGACAAAGCTCTTTTACTTTTCTTTTTTTTTTTTTTCTTTTGTCATTCTACTACTGCACCTTGCTTCTCTTGTGTTAGATTTGCTTATTATTTTGTTATTATTGTTGTTACTGTTTTTTGTATTATTTTCAATATGGTTTTTTCTCTATTAAATTCATCGAAAACAATTTTTCTAATGTCTAGTACATATTTTCCTTTCCAATCTCCACACTGTGGAAATATACTAGGCATGTCTTGTTGTTGGATTGTCAGCTTTGCTATAGATTTCAAAAGATGGAATGGACGGATGAAACCACAACGTTCGACCCACGTCTAAGGCGACTGATTTTGTTTTCTTTTTCTGAATATTCTCTTTATTTTACTGGTTTTCATTGAAAGGTGGCACTAGAACAGAATTTTTTTTTTTTTTTTTTTTTTTTTTTTTTTTTTTTTTGCATTGTCTTTGGGTTGCGGAAAATAGTGTTTCAAATTCGAATTTTGAGATACAAGGAAATCTGTTTCTGCAAAAACAAATATTGTTTTGGAAAAAAAGTTGTGTTATTTCCTACTGTAAACGTAATAAGAATCCCTAGGATGATACTTCAGTTTCCTTTTTCCAGATTTTCTTTTTTTAATTTTCTGGGGTTTGATTTCGAAATCCCTTCTCATATGAACTAAACGTAAAGGAGCAGGTGGAAAATCTCCAATTTATTTTGAGAAAGATCTACCAAATAAAGTTGAAATGGAAGAAATAGTCAACAACTTGTTTTGTACAGTGAGAATCTAATGGAGAATTGAACTGTCTAACACTTGAAGCACACTCAAAACACCACATATCCTTTAACTTAAACTAGAATCCAAAACTACTTTCCAGCTTTCAAAAATGCCACAGATATTGTTTCACCTATAAACATAACCATTCTAACAATACTTCTGAGTTCTGGGTAAAGCTCGTCATTTAAGTAGAGTTTAACTCCAACGGAAGAATCCCGTTGTTTGCTGCGTAAAATACAGCTATTGCAATCAGAAGGACGAGTATAACGATCCACAAGCTCAGACCTGCAAATGAAAACAATATGTTTAAGACAATTACCACAACAAAAGTCAATTATGCATGCGCAAAAGCATGGCACTTGATGGCAAGACTAGAAAGAGAGAGATCTGTTTGCAGTATAATCACTATCAGCCAGTTGGTCGTATTTGCTTACAGATTAGTTCAGGTATTAATGACTTGACCAACTTGAATAAATTCAAATGCTAATAAAGAATAAAACTCACGCATACATCAATATTGTCAAAGACTCATTTAAGGCGCGATTAAGCTCTGAAGCTCAGAAAAGTTCAGGAAGGGCTTTGCCTCGCTTAAGATGCACTTCACTGTAGGCAAGGCACCAAGGCGTGTGCCCTATTGCCCATGAGTTCTATCTTGCATCGAGGGTACTAAACAACAAATATAATTTGCAATGAAGTATATTAGTAGTTGAGGAAAAAATTGTAAATGAACTTGTTTCTTTTTTTTCTTGAACTACAGATAATTATTTTAACTTTTTCTCTTCATTGCGCCTTTGTTTTACTAAAGCCCGCACTTTAGTTGCGCTTTGTGCCTAAAGCGCCAATACACTTGGAGCGCTTTTTAGAGCTTTTCACCTCTGACAGCACCGACACATATGCAGTTGTTTCCTACTAGTTTCATGTTATCAGTAATATCAACTTTTTCCTTAGATGAAGATCAAGTTAAAAATAAACTAATCAAGATCAATAGCAGAAGCCTACAAAACTACAAATGCTAGCTCATTTTCAGAACTCGGCCGGCTACCTGCTAGCAACCACCCCATACAAACCAAGCTGTCTCTACCATCATGTATTCATGTTCCTGATACTGATATGGAAATTAAATACTCACCACTTTTCTTCTCTTCCTTTATAATTGTCACTCTCACTCTTGAATCCATGGAGGCAGAAAGCAAAGCCCTGAAGAAAGCAAAAAATTTAGAATTGTTTGTGCTGACTGCAGGCTTTTATAGCTATTAACAGGAACATGAAAACCATTTAGGACCTCGAATCTTCCGAGAACTTCAATGTTGTCACAAGACCAAGATGAGCCTTTTTCACCACATTTTGCACTTGCAAGTTGTTAGAAGAAACTATCAGTACATCTCCCTCGATTGTTCCTCTGCAAAGAAAGTGAAATAGAGGCAGCATTTAGGTCCCCAATAACATATTCTATGCAACATCAATTATTACATCCACGATTCAGTGTTATAAGATGTCGACGGGATGGTGGTAGTTTCACATGGATCATCATGTATGACAAACTTATGGAAAAGCCCCTGAAAATTTTACAACCTAAATGTAAGTTGTTCTTAAACATATTAGCCGGAGACACTGGCATAGAATCAATAGACCCACGGAACAATTTCATGATGTCTCTTAAGCAAGAAGCTACAATCTGACAAATTACACTGAGATTTGGTAGCTCTCTGGCGTCTTTAATGATACAGATCTAATCATACAAGAGCAAGTGTTGTGATAATATGTTCCATCAAAGTCAATCAGCCACTTATTTTTTACTGTCGTTGGTCCAGGCTAATTTGTGCACACCTCAACTAATCTACCACACAGTCTCTTACAACCGACAAGCACAGGTGGCCGGGTAACTGTACACCAAGGTTATAGCAGGTGGACCCACAGTAATGTTATAGCTAAGCTTCAAACCTGGAATCTCCAGGTATGTTATTCTTATGCGCCAATGTCTCCACCATTGCCTTTGGGACTAATCAACTAGCTGCTTTTCTACCCTTTGATTGTTAAATTTATTTTTTTGATGACCATATTATTATATTTATTAAACAGTAAATAAGCTGCTTTTGTAGCCAAATGCTCAAGCTCTTTGAGAGGCAGCACTAAGCTTAGCACAGTATATAATGGACTTTCCAACTTTAAGCATGTCCAGCTATACGGAGTGTTAAGTGGTGGGATGAGATAGCCTACAGTTGTTTACAGGCATTCGTGGAAGGGAAACCAACAAAAGAGTCTTACATTGCCAGAAGCTTCCCATTGGGTGAAATATTAAAGGCACAAACAGGATCACGAACAACACGCTTTGATCTTATCCTCTTCCACGTAGTAGTACTCCACTTCGAAATACTTCCACCTTGATCTTTGCAAACACAAGGATACAGGGTTAATTTTTCATATGCCAACTAAAACACTATCTAAAAATAGGTAATTCAGATAAAATTCCAATATAACATATCCACCTCGCATTGTGGTGATGTATAGAACCTGATTCTCATCATTAACTGGTGAGAATCTACAATAGCCAAAGATCTCATCCTGGGTACAGAAGACGCTTCTTGTCAGATAACTAATAGCAACAATGAGAAAGGATTGGGTACGCCCACAAAACTTCCTCAAATCGGGAATATATGAGAATCCACAATGTAATTACTCTTAGTTATCTTATCAAAAAATAAAATAAAACATAAGAATCTACATGTAAGAGAAAACCAGTTTATATAAAACCAATTGGCAGGAGAAACAAAACATCTGCTTTTTGGATAGTCTTAGTGTCAATTAGATTGGAAAGGAGATGCATCATATATTTCCTTTCATTTGGTGGAGAAAAAGAGGAACAGAAAAAATCGAGCATCTTCCAGCAATTAAAAGTCATTCATACATATTCTTACATTTTCTTTCATCAAAGAAGCTACAGATGTTGATTTAGAGACGTCCCAAATACGGCAAGGGCCGCTTCCAACAGAAACAAGAAAGTTTCCATCAGGGCTGCACAACAACCAAAAGCATTTGAGTCAAAATTCCTCTACCATTAAAAGATATTGCTTGTACTGCTTAAAGTAAACGCTCTGGAAAATGCTATGAACCTGAAGTCTAGATCCTTCACAGAAGCATGAGCATTAGCCTCATCAAGACTAATTTCCATTCTGGGCCACTTGAAAACCCTCAACTTGCCATCCTGTACTGCACCAAAATTCAATAATCAATATAATTATGATTTACCTGCACAAACAAGCTCATGCAGTTCCATATTTCACTCTTTAAAAAGGATATAACAAGAAGAAAGAAGCAGATGCTGAATAAAAGAAGAAGAGGCCCAGGCCTCCCCTTCCTTGATCAAACAAAATCAATCAGTAACACCTCAATTTGAAACTAGATACAATGAATATTCTCCAAATAAAACTTGACAAAACAAATGGAGCCTTTCGGGATAAGATGACAGCCTGTTCAGAATGATTTTGTTACCCAGATTACACCAGCAAGCCAGTTGCTAAAGTTGAGCATAGAGCAAGAAAACACTATTTTCTAATTAGAGCAATAGAACAAATAGAGAACAAGAAATTGTATATCTGCTTTGTAGTTTAAACTAGTGAAACATTTTACTCGTTAACCTCCCCAACTACTTGGTATCTCAGCATAGCTGATTGATCATTAGTTGATTTCCTGGTTAACCTGCTCCTTACCCGTCGATGTACGGTAGCCGTAGACAGCTCAAAACCACCAAGCATTATGGTCCCAACACATTACTGACAGTTAGATAGCGATGGATAGCATGATGTATTAACTGGTCACACCCACAAAGATGCTACTAACTTCTGTCAATTCCCAGAGTTTTTTGTGAATTACAAAGAGTCAAAAAGAAGCAGCAAGCACAGAATGAGAGAGAGGTGGAAAAAGACTAGCATGAAAGTTACTTCCTTGTAGAAATATATTCACTTCTTTAGTTATCTATTTAGCATCTAAGGCTTTCGCCTTAAACTGTGTACCATGAAGAGAATCTCGGAAAATTCTAAATGGAAAAGGACTTGTTTAAAGTTTATCTTTTACTTTGCAACTAATTACCTTCTGCAATTCAGTATTTCTGAAAGAGTTAGTTTTTCTGTCATTTTTTAGTTTCTCTTACATTTTTCTTACTAAAAAAACTTTAAATCCGAAAAGGAGAAAGCCAAATGAATTCTAAAAGGTGAGGTAAAATGTAGAATTCATAAAGCGAGTCAAAACATAGCCAGTAGATATTCCCAGCTAGACTGTTGATATATTTATGGCTTAAAGACTAATGCCAAGGAACCATGCTATAACCCTAAGTTTACTCCCTCCTCTTATGCATTGAATTTTGGCCTGCCCTTCTTTTAATGAAATTTGTTACTTTATCAACAAAAATATATAACTTGTGGGGCAGGACAAGGTTTCAGAGAAGAAAACAAACCCGCTGTAAATAGCACTTTCTGTAACCTCTTTTTCATGAAGTCACTTTCTGCAACTTTTAAATTTAATGCAGGAAGAACATGTGCACCACCATGCTTTCTTATGGCAATTAGTGATGTAAACTAGTGGTGCCATAAACCTGACTCAAACTACCTCCTCCTTTTCCTTCATATCCAATCTAACTCATGGTATAGAAGAATGTTTTGGCAGGGTAAAATAAACAAAGATTGACTTTCCTGCCTGCGTTATTAAAGAACGCATTGTCCAACTTTTAACAGAATATGGGAGGACCTGATATTATAAAATTGGCCTTCTTAAACTTTATATACACTATGAACATAACAGTAATGCCTTCACGTTGAACAGTTTTCCTTCAATCACATGCAACAATCATACTTTCATTTCAACCTGAATAGTTTTAAGGGAAGACACCTACCTCACTGCCGACAGCAAGTAAAGAACCTTCATTATTAAAAGTTAGCGCTAATTGTTGTCCAACATCTTGCAATGGCTCAAGTACTCTCTCAGATGATCTTAGACCAAGTGAAAGATTATCAGCTCTCTGAATATCCCAGTCAAACCATCTACACAAGAAGCACATTGATTAGATGTTTAATCAAGCTGCTAGCAAAAAGTACCTGCAAAAATTCAAATTTCAAATATTGCAAGCGGTAATGTGGACTATGTTTGCAAAAGTAACCAACCAGAGAGTGGATTAAAAATGAAAAAATGAACAATTTTAGAAAGTAGTAGACATGATGTCAACTGTCAAGTGATCAAAACGATGTCAAGTGATGACTTCAGCCTTATCTATATAAGCCACTAACTATATCTCCTAGGGGCAAGTGTATGCCTTGGTGATTTTATGCATCAGCCCATGCCACCACTCACAAGTCACAAAGGGAGGGCTGAAAAGAAAGAAGAGAATACTCAACATGAATACCCATCTAAGTAAGCTCAAAAGTAAATTCTGTGGCACAACCCTTTCTTCAAGTAGATGCATCTTCTGACAAGTACCAAATGCTTTTAACACAATCTACAAGAAAGCTTCACCTGCAGCTTTTTGGCATTGAACATATCAGACCATCTCCACCAGGATGGATGGCCATCCTATAGGGCAGATCACCACCAGTTCCTTCTCTTGCCACCTTCAATGAAAAACACATATTTTAAGTCAAAGTGATCCAAATCCAGAAAGGTGAGGCTATATCTGTTTCTGTAATCTCCCAGGTTACATTTAAGGTATCAAGGTTTATGCACATCTGAATATAAGCAGAAGGAGGCTCTGAAAAATAGCAAATCTGATTTCTATAGTCAACCTCCAAGCCTGCTCATCCTAGGGCTGCTCGATGGGCCGGGCCTGAACCGGAGCGGAGCGGGCCCGCGGTCCTAACGGGCCTGGTGGGCCGGTCCTGGGTGGGCCGGTCTTGGTGGTCCTCCTGAGCCTGTCACGGGCTGGTCTTCAAGGTTGAGCCCACGAGCC